GGCCCGCTGGGTGGTTCGTGGTTTCAACCAACGTTTTGGCGTTGATTATGACGAGACTTTCAGCCCCGTTGTCAAGCCTGCCACTGTTCGTGTTGTCCTCAGTCTTGCTCTGTCTCGAGGTTGGCCCATTCATCAGCTTGATGTCAAGAATGCGTTCCTTCATGGCCAGCTGCAGGAGACCGTCTATGCCTGTCAGCCTTCTGGGTTTCAGGATCCCACTCGCCCTCACTATGTGTGCAAGCTCAAGAAGGCTCTATATGGTCTCAAGCAAGCACCCCGATCATGGTTTCACAGGTTTGCTGGCTTCATACAGACTATTGGGTTTAGAGGATGTAAGGCCGACACTTCTCTATTCGTCTTCTCTCAGCCCATGGGCACGACCTATCTACTACTTTATGTGGATGATATAGTTTTCACAGCATCCTCGCCAGCACTACTACAGAGTCTCATTCAGCAGCTCAAGGCTGAGTTCTCCATGACAGATATGGGCGATCTGCACTTTTTCCTCGGGATTAATGTTCACCGCACAGCTTCTGGCGTCTTCCTCCACCAGACTCAGTTCGCGCACGACATCCTTGAGAGGGCAGGGATGGTTTCTTGTCGGCCCATCTCAACCCCGGTGGATACAAAGGCGAAGCTGTCTGAGTCAGCTGGCACGGCGCTCTCCGACCCCTCCCTTTACCGATCCATTGTGGGCGCGCTGCAGTACCTCACATTCACTCGTCCTGACATCACATATGCAGTCCAGCAGCTCTGCCTACACCTCCATGCCCCGCACGACGCCCACTTTACAGCCATGAAGCGTGTTCTCCGGTATCTCAGTGGCACTACCACTCATGGCATTTACTTGACTAGATCCGCCACCGACTACCTACAGGCTTATTCAGACGCTGATTGGGCTGGTTGTCCTGATACCAGACGGTCTACTTCGGGCTACTGCGTTTTCCTCGGCGACAACCTTGTCTCATGGTCGTCTAAGCGCCAGGCCACTACTTCTCGCTCCAGCGCCGAGGCGGAATACCGGGCTGTAGCAAATGCTGTTGCTGAAACTAGCTGGATCCGAAACCTTCTCATTGAGCTCCAGCAGCCACTGCGTCGTGCCACACTTGTCTTTTGTGATAATGTCAGTGCGGTCTACCTTTCGTCAAACCCGGTGCAGCATCAGCGCACCAAGCACGTCGAGGTTGACATACACTTTGTGCGTGATAAGGTGGCGCTCGGTCAGATCAAAGTCCTGCATGTTCCGTCATCTTCTCAGTTTGCTGATATCTTCACAAAGGGACTGCCCTCACAATTATTTCTTGACTTCAGAGAAAGCCTGGGTATCCGACCCC